AAGCAAACCCTACATTTAGTCAGGCAGAGAGCAAAATCAGGTGAAATACTCAAAAGAATCTACTAATGCAAATTAATAAATCTGTATTTGGCAGACAGTTTAATGAGTCCTGTAGCCATAGCTTGATGATTAAGACTCTGTCACATTTGACATACAAATAGACAGTATAAGCTCTTTCTTACTACTGAATGTTACAAAATATCCTCTGTAAAGTCATAGCATTTGATCTTCTAATACAGAATTAAGCTCCTGAGATTCTAGGGCCAAACCTCTACATAACTCAAACTAAAGTTAATTTTAAATGTTAATCTTTTTATCTGGCATACCTTTTGTCACAGATGATTTAAAAATGTGCAACCTTCAACTTTCCATAATTAAAAACTCAATGAATTTTTTTAACTAGCCTAAGAAATAAGACTGTAATTAAAATAATTTATTGACTTATCTTATAGCGACTCGTCTTGATTCCAAGACAAAGCTGAAATCTCATATGTCTGCTTTAGGCCATAAAGTGAATTTAGGCAGAATTTAGAATCCTAAATCCAGAAGGCAATTCAGGGGCTCATTCTCCAATGACTATGCAATACTTAAATGTGTATAACTCAGTAGGCAAGATCATGCTCTAAGATTTTCATGGTTGCCAGCATACAATGAAAGTGCTCTGTCTCCACTCCCTCTTGTGTGCTAAAACCACAAGGGACTCACTCTGAAGGATTTGCTTTATCATACTTATCACACATGGACAACACAAAACACAGGAGCCAAAGTCCTTCTTCCTTGCAGTCAGAATTCACCTCTTGTAGTCACAGTGTCCTCTCAGCATGTGGGAACTCAGTCTCTTCCTTAACCTGAAAGAAGTCAAATCCACTTTTTCTGATTTCCCAGTCAGAATCCAATCCCAATGGTGAAATCCCAATCACAATGGTGAAAGTCCTTCCGTGTGTGTCCTGATGGAACCAAGCCATTGGTACTCTGTCACCAACCAAAATCCCCAGTGCCAGGACGAGAGCACTTTCTTCTGCAGTCTGGTAGTTTGGGCTGTAAGGTGGGAGGAACAAATTTATTTTGTTCATCTTGTCATATTTTGCAGCGGAAAATGTAGATCTTGCTTAACTGCTTCAATCCAATTAATAGCTTTGGTAACTTCACATGCTCTTCCCTTGTGCGTCAGTCTTTGACACTTCAACTTTTCTTGTTTGCTCAGAAAGGACTCTGGATACCAAATACAGGGATGGTGTTTCCACCAGATGGCAGGGCTATTAAATGCTAAGTATTCACATGCTATATATTTTTGTGGTTCTAGCCCAAATTCTGTGTTGCCCATGTCTGACTGACCATTGACTTGGAGTAGGAAAATCCTGGTCTACAGTTGGTACCATGTCTGCCCCTTAAAGGTTGAAGTTGTTTGTTCAGTGTTCATTGAAAAGATCAGTAGTCTTAAAGTAATTACTTCCTACGCACCTCATTCACCCTTCACAAAATACCTGTTCGGGATATAGAATAGTAATGAAGAAACATAGCTTGCTGTTTTACATTGTGCTTCATGTAAAATTATTCAGCAAATCTTTTCTATAATGAATATGTATAATAAATCTTTGGCTTGTCACAAGTCTAATCATGAATGGAAAAGAGAAAAGATATCAAGTTATTCAAATTGATCTAATTAAATTAATTGATTCATTTAAAGCTGTGACATTTCTTGTGCATTTTCCCCCATTTCACTCTCCATTTCCATCTCTGTTTCCATCACGTGTCCTTCATCCAGGTTGAAATACAAACTTTTTCTAGTTTACTTACCAGATCAATCTAATAATGAATAAAGATTTGAGATATTTTTCCATCCATAGTTAAAAAATGCACTAAAAGATGTACACTTATTTGTGGACTGGACCAACGTTTGTCCACTCTACACTGGAAAATGAGCTCTATCATGAATCTGCTGACCCAACATTAATTTACAGCTTGCATAAGCAGGGTCCGGATAATAAAGCTTCTTCAATGTCTATAAGCTATAAATAGGATACATTTGTCAATTGCCTTGCCCCAGCAAATTGTACTTGCTTTTCACCCTGCACCTGTGTGCCTTTCTGTGCCTTAGAATAGCAGTGGCGCTGTCTCTGTTCGAATAATTGGTCCATCTTTCAAAACTGAAAATTCCTCCCTCCTTCATTAGAGCCATGCTATCAAACCTGTGTCACCTGAACATGTCCAATAACACAAAGTTTCAAAATATCTGTTTTCTTACAAGTATGCTTATCTACCAGTGTTCAGGCACATCTTTGTTATGTTTCTTTCATAAGAAACTCTTGCAATGACAGTGTAACACAGCTGGTTTGTTTGTGTTTCAGCACCTCTCTGAGAAGCATGCTTAATACAGGCTTATGAAGTGTCTAAAATTTAGATCCAAATAAGGTGTAGAAATTGGTAAGACTGGATTCCAATCTACCTGTTTTCTAAACTGGGTTATGCCCATAACTAAAAATCTATAGAAATTGGCCACAGTAAGCTGCAGTGACTCCCAAACTATACATCTGTTCTATAGAATAAAACTACCTCACCTTTCTTTCTTTATAAATTGTTTCCACTTACAAACTCTTCATTTGTTTTCTAATCTTCCCTACCCACACTGAAAAAAAAAAAAAAAGTATTGTGTTTTGGTACACAAGAAGTTGCTGATATTCCTCTAACAATATCTGTGGAACATTTCATTTTCCTTTTAGTTGCTGAGATGCCCTGTTGCATTTTGTGTGAACATGTAAGCAAAGAAGCTTTTTATTTCATAGTGGTAGGCAATAGGGATGGCACCAAAATATACTTTAATTAAGTCTTTCAAGCACTTTCCTTTTTTCTTCTTTTTCTTAAAAATGCAGAATTTACAACTGTACTTGAAATTATAATACCTTTTATTGCGGCATTAGGTTAATGCATTTCTATTTGAAGTATCAACCAGCCAGAAATGAAGCAGATTCCCCATGGATCTTCAGGTCTTTCCATGTGAGGGCTCATTCCTTCTCTGCCAGCACATGTGAAAGGTCTGACTTGCACAAGACACATCTGAAGCAGCAGTGTAAAGCCTGAGTAAGCCTCTGTACCCAGGTACCTGCTATGCCGTGAAGGAACAGCAGGAGCCACAGGCATAGCAAAGTCTTCTACCCTGGGAACCATATGTGACAAAAATGCCTTTCATGTCACTCAGTCCTTCTTGCAACTGGAACCGACCACATGCACAATGTCTCATGAGCATTTGGGGGTTGGACTAGATGATCTTCAGAGGTCCCTTCCAACCCTGACCATTCTGTGATTCTGCGATTTAAGGGCACTGCACATCAATTCCTTTATCATGGTAACTAACAAACAGCCATCTCTCACTATGACAAGGAGTATAAATGCAACCTTGGCAAGAACAGCCATACTTCTCACTGAGCCTGTTGTGTGAGATGAAGTATGGGTATCTTAGTCATGTCATAGGTGCCTCTTATAGGTGCCCCTGTGAGGTCCTTAAGAAGGAAGGTAGCAGGGTAAGGGTCATTGGCCATTAGCTGTTACAGTGGGTTTGGTTCGTTTTCCCTAGATGGGCCCCTTGTGCTACCGAATACCCCCAAGTGAATAGCTCTCAGCATCTGTTCTAGGTGCTGCTGCACTGCATAGGTACTAAGTAGGTCTTAAAGAATGGTGAGGTGGACTTCGTAGCTCTGTGGACTTGTGCTGTCATGACAGCTTCAAACTCACTTGAACAAAATAAGTAATCATTGGAACTGAAAAGTTAAATGAGAGGGAATAGTTTCTTCTAGGTGGATTATGAATCTAGTACAGAACTGTTTGACTACTTCAAAATGAATTTCTAAATAGCTTCAGGTCAACTGAAACTGCATTTTAAGTTGATAATATGTTCTCTGGAGGATGGCAAGAGCCAGTCCCTGGTTCTAAGGATAACACCTATCTGTGACAAGTAGCATTACTAATTACATGCAGCAAAAAAGGTTATAGTTTCTTGGTTGTGGCTATTTGGGTATTTACAATTAGGGGCAAAACCTTGCTACTCCTGCAGCTGCTGTTTGCTCTGTGTAAAGGAGTATTTTGTGAATGTAACAGTATTCTATGACAACAGTTTTAAGAACAAGTTTTTAGAAATACGGACTACTCAGCACTGTAGACAGTCTGTTTTGTGTGTTTCAGAGGATTGTGTTCATGTACCCTTTGCTGAGGTAGGGGAGTTGTTTCCATTTGTTTCAGTTTTGGCACCTACTTCATACAACTTCAGTTCCATGACTTTCAGACATAAGATTGTAATAAGGCAATTCTAAATCATTCATTTTCTTGATTTTTAATGTAAAGAATGATAAATGGGGAGTGGGAGCAGCAAGTTAAGCACAAAGTTTTAAACCCTTTTGCAGGACAAGGTTGCTTCAAATCATTAACGTAGTGGTTTGATCTGTTTTCTTTCAGCTGCGCTACAAATGAGAGCAGCTTTCCCTCAGCAAAAGTGTAGAACTTGAGGGCTTACCCACATGCATCTATTTATTTCTTTAATTGTAAATATTAGAATGGGAGCACTCACAGCCACTCACCACGTAACATGGCTGAGCCAGGACACACTGTAGCAGTCACAGGGTTTCTGTTCAATAATCCTACGAGAATGTGTGGATAAGCTGATAATGCTCCATGGTGCCCTTTGCAAACAATGTATGGAGAGCAGAAGGTGGTTGTCTCCTCGCACGGGGCTTGGCAGTACACAACACCTCTCTTGAGTTCAAGGGAAGGATATTTTGCTGAAAGTCATTTTTCTTTATACACCATTAGACATGTCACTGTGTTCTTTACAAGGGACATAAGAAAACGGGACCTGAATCTGCCCTGTGCACAGGTTTACATCCATGACAAAAGAGCCGAGGATCCTGTGTGAAGTCACATTCAACACAAACGTTGCAGTTTTACCCTGCCAGGAGAATTAACTTTATCCACCTTTTTTATTATTATTATTATTTCCTTCTCACTAACAGGTTATTCATCAGCTTAGACTTTCAGAGAATGAGAGCGTGGCTCTGCAAGAGCTTCTAGATTGGAGGAGAAAGCTGTGTGAAGAGAGAGATGACTGGCAGCAAATCTTGCACAACACGGAGCAAAGGATCGCAGCCCCACCTCCGCCCCCTTGTAAAAAGCCAACACTACTGAAGAAAGTAGAAGATACCTCCTGCAACAGACTCTCTTCAGGCATATGGGATACCACCATGTGATTCAGATGTGTGTGTTTGCAGACTTTTAGGAATGAAACCATGTGATGACTTCAATCTGCACAATCAGCAAGTTTTTCTTCCCTTCACAAAGCGTGCAGGGATTTTTTATAAGCACTCATTCAAGAGCACAGGATGGAGGAGCTATTTAGATCTGTCATGTGTGCATGTGCATGTGTGTGTTTGTTTTGTTCATATATATACACCCATACATATATGTGTGCATCTGTAAATATATATATGTATGCGTGTCTATATATATGGAGACAAACTGCACTATAAGTACTTAATTTAAAAGTACAAGACAGTCACTTAGAGTTCTCTCATGGACAATGAAGAAACTATGTTAAGCATATGATGGGGAGAAGTGACTGACAGGCATTTTAGAGAGATCAGGAAAGTCTGTGTGCACACTGTACAGCTGTTTTATATAGTACACAAATATGATGTTTCTTGTTCCCTAATGAATGGTTTTATTATATTACATGTATACATATATATATTTCTTTGTAGATGTCTGTGTTCTATTGGTGTTGCAAACCTGAAGATTATTTACATGTTTATTACTGGTGTTTTATAACTTTATGCAATTGGTGCTGTCGTTCTTTCTTCAAAATGCAGGTAATAAATTCAGTACTCGCATTTATCTTTCATAGTTTATCTTTAACAACACACCAAACAGTGTCAACACTGTGTTGGTTTTTCAGAACTGGCAATATCCTTTCTAAAATCCAACCCTGAAATTCTTGCAAAGCTCCTATATGCAGGTGTGATCTGATGCTGTTCACAGTCATGAATTAGAGCATGACTTCTTTTTGGTGGACCTGTGTTTCTGAATGTGTGAACTGCGAAATCTGCAGTTACATCTCAAAACTTACTTCATTCTGGGTTATGTAAAATAATGAGGCACTCATTTAGATTATAAGCATGTCTTGAAATTCATACCTGATTATGCGTAAGGTCAGGTGTCAGTGGAAAGATACATAATGGTAATGAGGTATGAAAATAGGGCTGTGATTTACTGTTACAAGCCAGAAGGTTTTATGGAGATGGGTATACCAAAGGATTATGTACTTATGGTGGTACAGCGATGCATTTATACCTCAAATTTCATGTAATGAAATGGTTTCAGAAATCGGAGCATTCTAGTTGGTGAACATGAGTTCTGAGCAGTTATGTTAATTTATGAAAAACATGCTGCTGGAAACTTCTTAGCTACTGCTCAGCAGTCTTTGAAATACTTCTTTGCCACGAAAAGGTGTAATTTATATATATACACAGGTATTTTGTCAGGGGCTGCTTATTTTTAGTTCTTGGAGTATGCAGAGCTTGTGTGAAACACTCTTCTTGGCTGTTTGCCCCATTCCTATTTGGATCCAGGAAAAAGTGCTTGTAATTTTGCAAGTGGATGTAAAACTAATATTTTCAAATGTAAGCTAGGTTTAAAATGTGAGCTCACCTTTGCTTGGAAGTTGTTGGGAAAAGAAAGCAACCTGCTTAGAGATGTAAGTTTTTCCATCATGTTTGACAGAAGCTTCAGGTAGGCTGAATGGCAAAAAGCAATCATGTTTGTTTGTTTGTTTCTTTGTTTTTATAGGGAAGCAGTGAATCTCAAATTGTTCCCATGAATATCATCAAGCTGTAGGCAGAATTAAACATGCTCTTTAGCTGGAGATTAAAATAGACATTTTGAGTGAGCAAGGAAGGGTGGACACGAGATTAGCTCAGAATTTTACCTTGTTACCACTGTTAGCTTCACAGAAGTCGTCTCTATGAGAATACCCATTCCTATTTCATGGAGAAGCAGGGACTTGAGACTCTGAAACTTACCTCTAGCTGATGTAAATGCCCATAGGTCATGACTTCACCCAGGAGGAGATAACCAGTGTGAGGTTATGCAGAAAACAGCTCTCATCCACTAAACGATTACGTCAGAATAAGGCTTTGCCTGGAAGAATTGAGGTTTCTGCCTTTTTGCTCAGATAACCAGGGACACACAGAGATCCCTGTGTGAGAGCGAAATGAAATGGTTCCATAACTGGATGCAAGAGAGCTAATTAACCTGTCCTTGCAACTACATTGCTTCCAGGATGCAAGTTGTTATCCCCACATGGCACAGCATCGCATAACATCTACCCAGCTAGCTCAGCCACCCCAAATGCCCCACCGCACACGAAGACATGCAAACATGCCCTCAGGTTTGTCGCTCCTCAAACAAGCCTGGCAAATAGCACTCTCATCAGCTCTATCGTATTGCTAACTCTAACGCCCGCTAGCTGGCTTGGCGACTGGTCGCCGTCTATCCACAGCAGCCTGGAGGTTTAGGGCAAGCTGTAAAAACCGCCTGAGAAGCCAGTTTAGCTCATGCCAAGATCCTTGCCGCGGCAGTGAGCTTGCTGCCAGCCACCGAGCTAGCTAATTTGTAAGGTGAGCTTGTGTATCGCCAGACAAGGTGGTTGTCATTGCTGCACTTGCAATGCGGGAGTACCCAGAGGGGAGAGAATACATTTGTCAAATGGAGTTTAAAATGGGAAATAGTATAAACGTGCACTATGCTATTTGCAATCCTTATCAAAGGCTGTGTTAGAGCCGTGATCGGCCCCAGCTGCAGGAGCTCAAATGAGGTCTAAGGACCCTTTTTGCTACTCTTTCAAAGTCTGTATTGTGCCCTATTATGTCAGTATGAACCAAGTGTGGAAAAAAGGTATGTAGATTTTCTCGCAGTTGCATCAATACAGTTACACAGGATACACCAGTACAAACCTGATTCAGGCAGTCTGGTTCTCCAGGCAATGAGCAAAGCAGATTATTCCCCCCTGTGCAGAAGGCCTTTGTTCCATTTTTTGCAAACTTGGGTAAGACGTATATTTTCTGGGGCTCTTCCTTAAAGCGTGTTACCACAGTGGAATACAACAAACTAATTATCAGAACATATGAGATGGTTTTTTTTTTTCAATTTTGTTATTAATTCCAGGTTAGGTAATGGCTAACTTTACTTGGGAAGATTTTTCAGGATATTCCATTAAAATGTAGTACTATAGGAATAAAGTATTTGTATTAAAACATGTTTTAAATATTTCTCTAATGGCAGTAAGACACTCCAGAGTGTGACTTATGATGTCATAACTCACACCTAGTGTGTTCATTGGTCCCTTGGCCTTTGGCCTCGTGCCTAACAATGCAGTTGGTAGGGAATTATTATACCATAATTCACACCCTACTGTGTCTTACTGCTTAAATAACCATACCCCCAGAGGTGTCTTAAAACTACCATTAAAGTTTATATTGTGTATCAAAATGTGTTTACAGGGCTGGGAAAATATACTATTGACATTTTGAAACGTTGAGAAGTAGTTTTTGCAGAACTGTACAGTGCTTGTAAATTAATCTCCCCAGTGGAGCATGCACCAGCCAATTACAGTATTTCTTGAGTATATGAAGTCCTCTCTTGCACATTAAAAAATAGCTTAGACAAAAAAAAACAGCCTTATGAATTTAATATTCTAAAGGGAAAGATTAAACTCTATGAGCATGCTAATGCCCTTAATATCCAACGAACAGCCTAAAATATATTTATATTTGCAATAAGCAATTTCAGGAAGCTGGGGTTATCATCAGATAATCACTCCTCCACATTGTGCCTTATTGCTTAATTTTTAATATGTGAAACAGACAAAACTTCTAACAAATCGGCCTGTCCTTCAGTATAAGGTAAGAAGAATCAGATATGTTTTACACTTTAAAAAGTCATTGGTCTTAAAGCCAAGGGAATTCTGAAACCATATTAAACTACAATAAAAGAAAAACAACAGCTGTTGGCATGAGAAATTTTTAAAGCTTGTAAACCCTACTTGTTACTCCTGAAATAGTACTTGGCGGTTTTTAGTTCCTGTAGCTACATTCCTATTGCAGATTATAAGCAAAACTTTGCTTTAAAAAAACTGATTTAGATATTCAGAGAAATACAGACCAGTATTTTACAAAAGATCTGTGTACAGCATGAAGTGAGAAGCCTTTTAAAATTTTGTATTGTTTACAAAACAATAGTGTGGTTGTTGAATACGTGAATTACATTTCCCTTTTTGCCATTGATCTTTTTTTATTCCTTCTAAAAGGTTGACTTATTTTCATTAATAACTTTATTATACTGCAGATCCTTTGTGTGTGGGACAAAGAACTTCATTAACTTGCTAAGAAAGCGTAATAGATTGTAGCATAGTTCTAAAGTGATAGTAATAGCCATATTCATTGTAGTTTTTAATTCTGCTCTATAGTATTAACATCCCTAGTAATCCTGTTATTCTTATCTCTATAAAGCCTGCTAATATCTGAAATGCTCTGAGGAACCTAAAATAAGTTTTGCCATTCGCTTGTTAAATAATAAATGTAATTAAACTCTGTACTAGTCAGTTTTCCAGAATGGTATTAAACATTTCATGGCTTTGTGTTCTAAGTATATAGTTTTCAAAAAGAAAACACCACCTGAGCATAACTATTTGACAGTATCTGAACAAAACAGAAGGGCATATAAGGAAATGCTTTTCTTCCAGTTTTGCTGTTCTCTGTATACTCAGGATTTTCATTTTGAGAAAAAATAAATAAATCCCAGTGCTGGCTTATACTATGGCTGTGAGAATTAGATCATTAGCAAAGACTGTCTGTGCTCCCACCTGGGGTTTGGCCCTTTCTGCAACCACATGAATGTATGCTGGATCTGGTTGAATCATGGATTTTGCTGTCAAGTGTCTTAGGCAAAAATTTTGTCAAGTCCGTTTTGACTTTTTGAGGATTTTTGATCTATTATAGTTAATACCTCTCCACCCCCCCACCTTGAATTAGCTAGAAGTATTTACTTCAACCTTAACTAGCTTGTTTTGGTTCTCATATATGTGAATAAAATCCCCTCTTAGCCCTTTTTATTTCCTTTCCTGTCAACTTAGGTTAGTTTTCAAACAGACTTTTGTAATAAAAAAGAAGGGGTTAAATGGAATTACAGCATAACCTTTACATTTAATTTTTGAAATGAAATATTTTCCTTTAAAAACACTGAAATAGAATAATTTAATATTTTCTATGTGTTTTTCACCTTTTCTTTTTCAGCTGAAATTGTTTGTTGGATGCAGTCTGAATTTACACGTAATTTCAACTCTTCACAGACATACTTTTTCATAAATCCACTCATCTCTGAAAAGACCACACTAATGAAAGTTTGTTTTGAAATGCAGGAGAGCTGCTGAAGTCCTTAGAAGCGTCAACAGGGAAAGTTTGACAAGCAAAGGTATACTGCCGTCATAGTCATGTTCATGTGACGGCTATTAGTTAATGCTTGTGTCCTCACTGTTTTTATTTGGGCTCTAGCCCCTTCTCAGTCTACATGGATATGTAATCACCTGCCTCCTGATATTCCTTAGGCTACAGAAAGAAAAGTGCTGAATCTGTTGTACACTTCCAAAGAAAGGGG